TACAGTGCCATATTCTGCCTTGGAGGTTTGCATCTCACTGTGGTTGTAATTCTCACAGGTATGGATATGAGTTGCACGGTTCAATTCTCAGTGCCTTTCAGGTTGGTCTGATATTAATATGGCAGAGTGTTGGAGGGGTTTTTTAATATTTCAGTTGAAAGCTCATCTTATATGAAATGCTATGCTTTTGTGCTTTGTTTTTATTTCCAGTTGTACAGTTTTGGTGTTTTTCTGGTGAACTCCCCTTGCCATTACAAAAAAGTTCTACTTCTTTAGTACCAATGCACAAGGAACTAATTCTATAAATCAGTATAACAAAATAAAGCTCTTTCATAGACCTGTTATTTTTCCAAGTAAGATAAATACTGCTAAGGAGTAAACTTTCAACAAAGGAATGAATGATATCTTGGAAAATAACTGATGAAATAATGTGGGGCTATAGGTATTTAGCTTAATGCTTAAGTTCGTGTCTTCTCAGAAATAATTTTAAGTGTATATAACTGGAAACATTACCTCGCCTAATTCTGAAATGCCAAAGGCAAAATCCCACCTATTCATCCTTTCTTTCATGCTTGTGTCCGACACACCAGTTGGGGCTAACTGTCACGATGTCACTTCCCAAGTTAATTTGTAAACAGACCAGGGTACTTTCCAGTAAGGAATAAAATTAACAGTGTATGTTGCTTATAAATGGCATATGGAAAATGTGCCCTACTTCTGCTAAATATAAGGAACTAAATGAACAGTGTGTAGATGATACATAGGCCCTGGAAAACATTTAGTTTGAAAATATTCACTATAGCCCCACTGTCTGCTTGTGCAATGAAATCTCATCATATTGCTTGATTGTCAGAGTTCTCCTACCCTTTCTGAAACTTGTTATTATACATTTAAAAGAGTGCTTTCCAGAAGAATGTCCACCTAGGAAATGTAGATGGGTTTTGAGCAGTGAAGCTTAATAATTAAGAATTATGCAAATAATTTGCCTCTAGAAACCACAGGTATTTTTAGCTAATTTATAGGCAAAATTTTAATTTATGTTTAATACTGAAATCCCTGGCTGGAAATTAAGCTGCAAACAAAAACAGAAGCCTTATTGCAAATCTGTGGAGGAGGGGGGCATATTCTGTCCTGTGACCCACCCCCTTATGGCTCTTACTGCATTATCAGAGGGCTGTAAATGGCTCCAAAGGTCTGAGCCTGAATTCTCTTGGTGGAGGCATTGCATTAGGCTTTTGTATGCAAAGCAAGACTTACAGCAGATGTGGAGGGTAGTGGTTTTATGTGAATAGCAAAACCGCAACTGAACAACCTTAAGTGACTGAAAACAGGCATTGCTTGGTATACTGGGATGGAATCACATCTACGTTTCTTCAGGTAAAAGTCAAAACCACACACACATATTCAAGAATAAGCTACCTCTTGTGAATGGGGTAGGAGAAGGAGGATGGCTAATGAAAAACGTTTGTTCTCGTAGTGTTCAACATCTGATAGAAACAGTCTTCAAAAGGTGAAAACCAAACCCTCAAGTTGCATCAGTAGTTACCCGGAATCTTATGTTTTATAACCTTGTGTTTGTTTCAGTTTGTAGCGGTTGCCCTGGAACACAATGTTTGCTTTATATACCTGTCCAAGCAGCACCAGGATTTTTTTTTTTTTTCAGAAGTCACCGGGATTCAAAGTGTTTCAAAATGAGGTTGACTCTTCAAAATTGGTATGCCTTGTCAACCAAAAATACATCCTTCACCTCAATCCTAGTAATTTTGGACAAAGGACTGCTTTATTATTAAAGAACTAAGAGTTTTAGAAGCTATGTAAGAAGAGTTTGAGGATATAAAAAGCCTGAACCAGCAGTTCTTTCTGTTGAATTAAATAGTTTCACCAACTTTTCACTAGTGTGTATGGAAACAAAATGATGGTTTTAGTCTAATTTTATGTCATGCTATAACTGCTAGTATTTTCAAAAAAAAAAAAAAGGTAGAAAAAGTTGAGAAACTGAACTGTTTCTGTTTAAGATAAAGTCTGCAAGCCTGTGAATTTTCAGATCAGAAGAAAAGGTATTTTTCCTACATTTAATAACATTTTCTTTGTTTCAAAGCCACCCTGCGCTCTTTGACCTGTACAGTATTATATTGAGCCCTTCCTGATAGTTCTCACAAGAATGTATTTGGGGTGTTAGCACTACAAATGGGGTATTGGGAAGAAAAACATGGAAATGAGTGAACTTTTCTCTCCAGAAGGAGGATTACCGTAAGAATACTACATTGGAAAAGAGAGTTAGTTTGAATAATTTTACATCGAATCAAGTATGCATTGAAGGCATTTAAGTTAGCCACAAAAGCTGTAATCTAATAGATTGGAATTATTTCTGCCATCTCCTGTTTTATGATAATATCCATTGTAGCCAGTTTAATGACAATGAGACTTCTAGTGCTTTCTTTTCTATTTATGTGATATATGCAACCAAAATGAGCAGTCAGACTTAAGCTAGTTTCTTTGGTTTATGAAAACATAGAAGAAAAATAGCAATGTTACGAGCTTATTGAAAAGCCTAAATTCTACTCTGTTATAATCTTGATTGAAAGAATGCAGTAAGTCTCTAGTTACTAAGCCCCATTAATGCACAATTTTCCAAAGGTCCTTAAGTGGCAAACTTACAGTCAAGCCTCTATTCATCTGCATACATAATCCACTGTACTAGAAGTAAGACCGAATCTTTCAGATTCAATGTTAGACTTTTTGTGAACTTGCTGGAAAGACTGGACAGACAGCTGGAAGAGTGAATAAAAGTTAACTATATCGTACGTAGTTTGGCCTTCATTGATCTTTCTGTTGTGCTTGTCATCACTTTGATCAGCCCGTTTCACTTGCTCTATTAGCAATGTTTTCAGTATCGTCCATGTCCTTGAACATCCTCCCTTTCATATATGGAGTAGGGTTGACTCAGGTTATTTTTTGTGAAGAAATGATTGCTAGAATTACCACAGATCTCCTACACATTGTTAGACCCTCACTAGGCATGTTTCTATGTGTGTTTCCTTCCTCTCACCCTGTCTGGTGCTTGCAGCAGTAAGCATCTTTGGTGAATCAGTCGGGAGACAAGATTTAGCAATGAAATGCAGTACCTTAAGTCTTACTTCAGGTGGTTTTACACAAAGAAACTTCTTACCTGGGAAAGAGGGGAATAGGTTTGGTTAGTTTCTGTCAAGTAGTGCCTCCTAACACAAGGCTGGGAGTGTAGCAAAGGTCAAAAACCTGTTTTAAGTAGCGAGTAGGGACTGCTGCTTGGACATCCTCCTCCTCCTACGTCAGTACCCTTAACAGCCAGAGGAGCAGCAGGCAGTAGAAACCCGTAGCAGCAGGTGGGGGTCACCTCTGCAGGTCTGAAATACGTTTGTAATACCACGTCTGCACAGATGAAGGGGAGGTGTCCTCTGGCAGTGCAGAAGGGGAGTTTCTCACCCTTCCAGCTTTGTGAGAAAGGCGTACTACAAGGAGAGAACAAGCTTTGGACGTGGCTTCTGACCATGACTGTTAATTACAGGGTGCTGTCCTTTCCCCGTGAAGCAAATCTGTGACCAGACTGACTGCCAGTGAACGCTTTTCCCTTAAATTACTTATGTCTCTGCAATTGGTGTATTGTAACGCTCATTAAACCTAAAAGTTACACAGTTTCTTACTTCTCAAATGTTACTGAAAATCCCTTAAGTCATCTCATTTTTCATTTTTATTTTCAGGTGTCTGTAATGTTCTGGGGCAATTTGTTTCATCCTTACTAGTTACTGCTATTTTTAGTGACTTTGAAGTTTATGTTTTAACAAGGCAACCAGTAGTTGTTCCAATTGTGTGCCAGCGTCGTATGGACCTACATTAAATACAGAATGATTTCATGTAAAAATAATTGGTCTTACTGTAGAAACTGATTTTTATTAAGCGAAGTATTGTATTCTCCACAGCAGAATAATTCTGAGAAAATACTCTGTTGTTACCCAGAGCAGAAAGGGTAATCATGCTGATGGCATTGGATACATTTTTTGCACCAAATCTTAGTTTAATTTGCATCTTATCATCAGCAGGAGGAAAGTATATTCTGCTTTTCTGAAGGAAGCCTACACCTAAATAAACCATTGATCAGGCTATATCTTTTCGTCGTGTTTCTACTTTGAAACAATGGAGTTTGTCCCTTTGGGCAAAGCCGGTAAGAATCTGAACAATGTACATCAACAGTACAGGTTTTTGGGGGTTTTTTTTGTTTTGGTTTGGGTTTTTTACTAACTTCTGTAGATTCAGAGAATAATTTCAGACTTTGTGCTGGGGGAAGATAACACAGATTTCGGAAATGTGCAAGAAATTTTAGCTATGTAAGAAATAAGACTATCAGTCTAATATTCTACAAGAACTCGGGGGTTCCGCCATGTATTTCTAAGCATGAGGCTTGAAAAGCCATGGCAGGTAGGTGATTTCAGTGCTGCTTTTCCTATTCTATTCCCTGTCTTATGTTTAAAAGCTCAATTCTTGGTTCCAAG